GAAAAAAGAAAAAGACGTACAGCTTAATTTTCAGTGACTCAAAATTAGGAAAACTGAGGAAAAAAGGAGAAAAAAATTGAAAATATCATTTTGCAGGCTCATAGCCAAGAAAAATTAGAATTTGGTCTGAATTGTAGAAAAAAATAAAAATCGGTAAACATTAGGCAAGACTAGAATCTAACAAGTATACTAAAGTTTTTGAAACATAATTTTTCTCTTTCCAGTTTCCCATTTTTACTAAGAGAAATCATGGTAGGACTGATTTGCTTTATTATACTTGGCCTGATTATTTGTATATACTGTAGCAAGAGTAATTATTGTTTTTTCCATAGGCTTTTAAAGTAGCTTTGATGGAACTTTGTTCAATAGAATGAATCTCAGATAAGACTTTTTAAAGCTGTATATAAGTCTTTTATAATCTTTATAACCTTTATTAGGGAGTCAGTTAATGCTTCAAGAAAACCTTGTTAATCTGACACAGGGGGCCCATATGCTGGTCTTGCATCAGTGTGCCTTTGACATTAATGATTAATTTATAGAGAAATTAAACTTATTTTATCATTTTTTTTTTTCTTTTAATGTGCCGGAGAATGAACCTGGGGCCTCATGCAACTTATTTTATCTTTTAAAATTGGCCCTTACAATCACACGTGCCTACCTCTGCCACAATAGTCCCTGGGCCTTGAGTTGAATAGCCCTAATTTCTGGTCCTGTATCATTGGAAATAGATGTTGGAAATAGTTGCTCAGTGCTGCAAAGAAAAATTCGCACTGAGACAAAGGATCTTTCAGAAACACAGTTTTTACTTTCTGGACTGCAGAAGGGTACTCTCACTAGCCATCTTGCCACAAGAGTACAATGAACAAAGGAAAACACACACATTTATTTCTTATGCATTTGGGGTTGTCCTTACTGCTGTGTTTGATCTCTGTTGGCTGGAGCCAGACCTCACAATCTAAAACCCAACTGGCTAACAACTTAAAATTTTCTAAACAGGTAAAAGCACTGGAGAGCTGGGACATGGCTGTGAGCATGTCCAGCATAAATATCTTGGTTAAAGTACAAGGACATAGAATGTACTATGTGCCTGTAAGCATGGCATGTCTAACAGCTACCTAAGATAGGGCTTAACAAAGTTACTAGCATACTTATTCTTTAACAAGAAAGGAAACTTTAAAAAGGAACTTTTCTATTTACCACATGTATTTCAGGAATACAGTTTATTTTGATTGGTATCTTAAAGCAGGCATGAAGATGAGGCTTTAATTGCTGTCTGTGTTTAATATTTGGCAGGACTTGGTGTCCTTGTTGTTGTTGTTTTGAGATGAAGTTTCACTCTTGTTGCCCAGGCTGGAGTGCAGTGACACGATCTTGGCTCACTGCAACCTCCACCTCCCAGGTTCGAGCAATTCTCCTGCCTCAGCCTCCTGAGTAGCTGGGACTACAGGTGCATGACATGTTTCACCATGTTAGCCAGCAAGACTTGGTGTCCTTTTTAGGCCCAGGAGTCAAAGCCCTGTAACTTAATGTCACAAGGACTTTAAAAGTACATACAGAGCTGGGCATGGTGGCTCATGCCTGTAATCCCAGCACTTTGGGAGGCCGAGGCAGGCGGATCACAAGGTCAAGAGATCGAGACCATCCTGGCCAACATGGTGAAACCCCATTTCTACTAAAAATACAAAAATTAGCCAGGCGTGGTGGCAGTTGCCTGTGGTTCCAGCTACTCGGGAGGCTGAGGTGGAAGAATCGCTTGAACCCAGGAAGCGGAGGTTGCAGTGAGCCGAGATTGCACCACTGCACTCCAGCCTGGTGACAGAACAAGACTCCATCTCAAAAAAAAAAAAGTATGTACAGAAACATAGATGTAATAATCTTAATTAAAATTATATGTATATATTTTGATATCAAGCCCAATCTCTAGAAGGACCATTATAATTTCCTTTTAATTATAGACAACTTGATTATATAAAAGTTTTTTGGGTTTTGTTTCATTTGTTTTTTAATATAAATCCTCTTATTGTGACTTACACAGACCATTCACGATATGCTTGGACTTTCTGGTTTTCCCTCTTTCTTAAACAACCAGTCATTTTATCCTAGGACTAAATTTACCATACAATATTTTTTCTCATATAAAATTAACCAAAGGTGATAGCTTGAGTAATTGTGATCTTACTGGATGCAACATATGGAAACTACCCAAATAATGAAATGGGTATTATTATTTGAGACAGATTCTCACTGTGTCACCCAGGCTGGAGTACAATGGCACAATCTGTGCTCACTGCAACCTCCACCTCCCAAGTTCAAGCCATTCTCCCACTTCAGCCTCCCTGGGATTACAGGCACCTGCCATAATGCCCAGCTAATTTTTATATTTTTGTAGGGACGGGGTTTCACCATGTTGGCTAGGCTGGACAAGACCTGACCTCAAGTGATCTTCCTGCCTTGGGCTCCCAAAGTGCTGGGATTATAGGTGTGAGCCACTGTGCCTGGTTGAAATATGTATTATTTAACATAACTTTAGATTCTAAATTATGACAAGTTTGTCTACAAGTATTTATCGCATTATATTTACCTAATTATTTTAATCATTTTCCTAAATTATTTAGAAAATTACAACTGTCATTTAAAGTTATGAAACTGCCATTGCAAAATTATAACAGACAGTGAAAAAGATCTGCCCTAACTGACTCCATCTTGTTTCTAACCTCCAGGCTATCTGTGTTCATTCCAGGGCACAGGCCAAACCAACTTTGGGAGAAACAGTTTATAGTTTAGCTTTGAAACAAAGATGAACAGTCCTTTCCCAAAGCAAACCTCCTTACTGCCTATGGATTAGACTGCCTAAAGCCACAGGATTAGAAGTTATGGTGATCTTACTAAATTTAAGATGTAGCTATTTTCATTTAAACCAATATCGGGCCGGGCGTGGTGGCTCACACCTGTAATCCTAGCACTTTGGGAGGCCGAGGTGTGCGGATCACGAGGTCAAGACATCAAGACCATCCTGGTCAACATGGTGAAACCCTGTCTCTACTAAAAATACAAAAATTAGCTGGGCATGGTGGCGCGTGCCTGTAATCCCAGCTACTCAGGAGGCTGAGGCAGAATTGCCTGAACCCAGGAGGCAGAGGTTGCAGTGAGCCGAGATCACGCCATTGCACTCCAGCCTGGGTAAGAAGGGTGAAACTCCGTCTCAAAAAAAAAAAAAAACCAGTATCAATGTCTTATAAAAATTATACAAGCAAAAATCATTCTGTTTGGGGCTGGGTTTATAGTTTTGTAACTCCATCCCAAATTTTGACTCTTATAGTATTTGGCAGGGATGAGTATAAAATTGCTTGATTAATAAAACTGCTTGAGTATAAAACTGCTTGATTAGTAAATGCAAATAAAAATGTATGCTGGTATGACATTTTTAATATTACTTTAGCAATAATTTTAAAGCTACCTTATTTATTAAAGATTTTACTTGTCATGTAAACTTGAAAAACCATTTGACTAGTCTTTCCTTTTTCAGATAAAGTATTTGATTTACACGCTTTTGTTTTTCTTTAAGTCAATTAATGAGAGCTCTATCATGAATTTTCAGGAGTGAAACATTGTGTACACAACATATAAATACATAAATGCCAATAGAAATACATCTTTTAAAATTATTTTTATTTTTATTTTTTTTGAGACAGAGTTTCGCTCTTGTAACCCAGGCTGGAGTGCAATGGCGCGATCTCGGCTCACCCCAACCTCCACCTCCTGGGTTCAGGCAATTCTCCTGCCTCAGCCTCCTGAGTAGCTGGGATTACAGGCATGCGCCACCATGCCCAGCTAATTTTTTGTATTTTTAGTAGAGACGGGGTTTCACCATGTTGACCAGGATGGTCTGGATCTCTTGATCTCATGATCCACCCGCCTCAGCCCCCCGAAGTGCTGGGATTACAGGCGTGAGCCACCGCTCCTGGCCTAGAAATACATCTTAATAGATTTATAAAAACCTTTTCTTTGCCATATTAAACTTTCAGACTCTTGATAATCCTAAGCAGTTGTCGGCTAAATAGCCTTAAATTTGCATGTTAAAGGAAAAAACTCAGGTGAAAATCAAATAGCAAAATTTACATCATAAGGTACAGAGAGAAAAAGTCTGGTGGTACTAGAGGGAGATTAAAGATGGATGTCAAATCAAACGTAGAGTTATAGAAATCTATCATAGGATTGTATAAGGAGGTCAATTTTACTTAGGGATCTATCATTTAAATGGATCTCTGGGCTCTGGGCAGTGCTCGCAGTGAATCCTGGGTCTCTAAAAAGGGAGACTTGTTATGAGAGTAGACCACATGATGTTTTTACAGTGCACTTAAAAAAAATTTTTTTTAAACAAAGTCATTTCTAAGTGCCTAAACTAACTCTTCCTTAAAATCCCGAGTAACTTCTGTTTCAATAACAAAGTCAAAACAAACAAACAATAACAAAAAAACCAGCCAGGCGCGGTGGCTCATGCCTGTAATCCTAGCACTGTGGGAGGCCGAGGCGGGTGGATCACAAGGTCAAGAGATTGAGATCATCCTGACCAAGATGGTGAAACCCCGTCTCTACTAAAACTACAAAAATTGATGTGGTAGTGCATGCCTGTAATCCCAGCTACTCAGGAGACTGAGGAAGGAGAATTGCTTGAATCCAGGAGGCGGAGGTTGCAGTGAGCTGAGATCGCACCACTGCACTTCAGCCTGGCGACAGAGTGAGACTCTGTCTCAAAAAAAAAAACCAGGTGACACAATACAAAAGCAGTTTAAGAGCTGAGAGGAACTTGTCTATTTACATTCCTGGGGTTCTATACAGAAAAAACAGGTTTCTCTTCCACCTTCCATAAGTGAAAACAGGTTTCACTGCCCAGAGCCCCATTTTTTTAAGGAACTCCAGGATATTAAAAACTATTTTAGGTCCCCCATGCAATAGAGGGTGTAAGAGAAACGAGAGACAGCAGAAGTAAATGAAGAAAATAGAATTCAGTCAACTGAGAAGAAAAAACTTTTGGCCGGGCGTGGTGGCTCAAGCCTGTAATCCCAGCACTTTGGGAGGCCGAGGCTGGTGAATCATGAGGTCAAGAGATCGAGACCATCCAGGTCAACATGGTGAAACCCTGTCTCTACTAAAAAAAAAAAAATACAAAAAATTAGCTGGGCATGGTGGCGCGTGCCTGTAATCCCAGCTACTCAGGAGGCTGAGGCAGGAGAATTGCCTGAACCCAGGAGGCGGAGGTTGCGGTGAGCCGAGATCGCGCCATTGCACTCCAGCCTGGGTAACAAGAGCGAAACTCTGTCTCAAAAAAAAAAAAAAGAAAAACTTTTGCTAAAAAAAAAAAAGAGGGTCCTAGGAGAAAAACAAAAACAAAATCTTAAAGGTCTTTTAAATACAAACACACACATATGCACACACACACTTTTTTTTTTTTTTAAGACAGAGTTGCTCTGTCAACCAGGCTGGGGTGCAGTGGCATAATCTTGGCACCCTGCAATCTCTGCCTCACAGGTTCAAGTGATTCTCCTGCCTCAGCCTCCCAACTGGGATTATAGGTGCTCACCACCACAACCAACTAATATGATTAATTTTTGTGTTTTTAGTAGAGACAGGGTTTCACCGTATTGGCCAGGCTGGTCTCGAAATCCTGACCTCAGATGATCTGCCTACCTCAGCATCCCAAAGTGCTGGGATTACAGCTGTGAGCCACCACACTCAGCTATCTCACACACACACACACACGTCTTGGATGTTAGCTTTTAATTAAGATGACTTAACCATTGAGAGCCTTAAAACATTTTTTTTAGGCCGGGCGCGGTGGCTCATGCCTGTAATCTCAGCCCTTTGGGAGGCCGAGGCAGGCAGATCACCTGAGGTCAGGAGTTCAAGACCAGCCTGGCCAACACGGTGAAACCCGGTCTTTAAAAAAAAAGCCTCTCTTCCTTTCTCCGCCATCGTGGTGTGTGCTTTATTCCATTTCTCACCATGTCTTCTAACAAGACTTTCAGGATTAAGCGATTCCTGGCCAAGAAACAAAAGCAAAATCGTCCCATTCCCCAGTGGATTCAGATGAAAACTGGTAGTAAAATCAGGTACAACTCCAATTGGAGAAGAACCAAGCTGGGTCTATAAGAAATTACACATGCGATGGCACACATATTTATGCTGTCTGAAAGTTACAATCGTGTAACCAAATCAAGCTGAAAAATGTCACTGCTATCTGGAGAAGTTTGAACAGTTTCCTCTCTGGATCTGCTATGAAGGCATTAGTTAGTACAACCCACAGTGCTTCCATTATTCATGTTAAAAGAAAAAAAAAGAAGGCTTTTTTGGTTGCCTGTTATTCAGTAATAAATATGTGAGACCTTTCACTTCCAAAAAAAAAATTTTTTTATCTCATTACCATATTTCAGCTATGACAAATTGCTGCTATTTCAGAAGTAGGGCCGTTGCTCTTTCAGTTTGGCCTGGCTAGCAAAGAGGTGGCCTCGTTATGTAAATAAACTCCTTAGTAATCAAACTAAAAAACCTTTCCTCCTTTTGCTGGCTGTTTTTTCTCCCCCACTATACCACTTTTTTGTGTGTGTGGCAGGGAGAATTTAACCATTTCAGAGGACTCGTTCTTCATAATTTGGATTTGAATTTGGATCAAATTTGGATTTGAATTTGGATCAAATTTCCTTTGAATTTGATCAAGTCAGATAAAGTTAGTCAAACCCAATAGGAAAAAGACCAAAACAACAACAAAAACAGACACAAACAACAACAACAAAAAAAGCAGTTAAACAAAACTAACAACTGCACAACTTATATGATTACTGGGTGCTCTAATGGTAAGAAGAAACTGAGATCAGATTGTTGTTAACTTTAGCCAAGACAAAATCCCAGTTCAGCTACTTACCTGGGGATGGGTTTCAGGCTGAAGACTGCTCTCTACCATCCTAGAAGCAGGAAAAAATAAAAAACAACTCACCTCTATTGGAAGTAAGCTCAAACTCTGTGAAGGAGTTAACCTGCCTCCCATTATCATGGAAACAGGAAAACTTGCCTGCCTTGTTGGAAGTGAGTAAAACTAACAAAAAAGGAAGTTGTACAGCAAAATAAATTTTAGATATCAACCAAATTTTAGGAAATCAGAGATTATCTGGAGTGGGTGATTCCAGCCTCAGCAAATTGTCCTACTGGTTTGAGCCATAAAGATAACTCAAGCTGGTACCAAGCATCAATAGGACATTTGTGAAGGTCAGGGGCACGCACCTCCACTCAGAATCCCTTTGTGGTTATCAAAACATGAACCCCAAAAATCCAAGAGAGATCTCAGTTAATTTCTGAGGTTTATTTTGCCAAAGTTGAGGATGCACGTCCATAACACACCCTAAGGAGGTCCTGACGACACGTGCCCAAGGTGTTCGGGGCACAGCTTGGTGTTCTGCATTTTAGGAAGACATGAGACATCAATCCACATATGTAAAAATGAACATTGGTTTGGCCCTGAAAGGCAGGACAACTCAGAGAGGGGCCTTCCAGGTCATAGGTAGATAAGAGACAAATGGTTGCATTCCTTTGAGTTTCTGATTAGCCTCTCCAAAAGAGGCAATCAGATAGGCATTTATTTCAGAGAGTGGAGGGGTAACTTTAAATAGAATGGGAGGGAGGTTTGCCCTCAGCAGTTCTCAGCTTGACTTTCCCTTTAGCTTGGTGACTTGGGGGCCCAAGATATTTTCCTTCCACACCCTGGCAACACTGAGCTGAGAGAGGTTCCAGCACTCACCATGATTATTCCAAATTCCCGACACCCACAAACATCTGAGCTCTTTCCTATAACTCTTCACACTCTGCGTGCATCAAAATTATAACATTAGCACATTGTGTTGTAATTGTTTGCATGTATGCCTGCCCTCTAAGCTCCTTAAGGTGTTGGGGGAGCTCCTCTTTAGAGTATTTTTTTTTTAACTTGCCACTTTAACCATTTGAAGTATACAGTTCAGTGGCATTAATTACATTCACCATGTTATGCAACCATCACTTCAATCTATTTACACATTTTTTAAATCACCACAAACAGAAAATTCCCATTCATACCTAACCCAACATCTGGTAATCTCTTGTCTTTCTTTCTCTATGAATTTGCCTATCGTAGATAGCTCATATAAGTGAAGTCATACTATATTTTTTTTTTCTTTTTTTTTTGAGACAGAGTCTCGCTCTGTTGCCAGGCACCAGTCTGGAGTGCAGTGGCACAATCTCAGCTCACTGCAACCTCCACCTCCCGGGTTCAAGCAATTCTCCTGCCTCAGCCTCCCGAGTAGCTGGGATTACAGTCACGCACCACCACACCCAGCTAATTTTTGTATTTTTCGTAGAGACAGGGTTTCACCACGTTGGCCAGGATGGTCTCGATCTCTTGACCTGGTGATCCACCTGCCTCAGCCTCCCAAAGTGCTGGGATTACAGGCTTGAGCCACCGCGCCCGGCTGATATATATATATATATATATATACATATATTTTAAGATGGAGTCCTGCTCTGTCACTGCAACCTCCACCTCCCTGGCTCAAGAGATTCTCCTGCCTCAGTTTCCCAAGTAGCTGGGATTACAGGCATGCACTACGCCTGGCTAATTTTCGTATTTTTAATAGAGACCGGGTTTCACAATATTGGCCAGGCTGCTCTCACTCCTGACCTCAGGTGATCTGCCTGTGTCGGCCTCCCAAAGTGCTAGGATTACAGGCACCCACCACCATGCCTGGCTACTTTTGTTGTTGTTGTTGGCCAAGCTGGTCTCAAACTCCTGACTCAGGTGATTCCCCCAACCTCAGCCTCCCAAAGTGCTAGGATTATGGGCGTGGGCCGGCAAGACCAGCCTGATATTTTCTATTCTTCTTCACATTCTTGATCTTTGTTCTGGGATTCAGTTAACTTTCTTGGAAACAGTTTGATCCTTTTTGTTCCTGCTTTTGTAATTTGTCCAGCAGGTCTGAAGCAGTGCCCAAGATAGGGCTAATTAGATGAAGCAAGCCCTACCTGAGTATTTTTCCAGTACCTGGTGAATTAAGAGTTTTTCTAGTCGGCCGGGCACGGTGGCTCATGACTGTAATCCCAGCACTTTGGAAGGCCGAGGTGGTCGCATCACGAGGTCAAGAGATCGAGACCATCCTGACCAACATGGTGAAACCCCATCTCTACTAAAAGTACAAAAAATTAGCCGGGCATGGTGGTGCGTGCCTGTTGTTCCAGCTACTCAGGAGGCTGAGGCAGGAGAATTGCTTGAAACCGGCTTGAAACCAGAAAACGGAAATTGCAGTAAGCCGGGATCGCCCCACTGCACTGTCTCAAAAAAAAAAAAAAGTTTTTCGGCCTGGCGCGGTGGCTCACGCCTATAATCCCAGCACTTTGAGAGGCCGAGGCGGGTGAATCACAAGGTCAAGAGATCGAGACCATCCTGGTCAACATGGTGAAACCCCGTCTCTACTAAAAATACAAAAATTAGCTGGGCATGGTGGCGCCTGCCTGCAATCCCAGCTACTCAGAAGGCTGAGGTGGGAGAATTGCTTGAACCCAGGAGGCGGAGGTTGCGGTGAGCCGAGATCGCGCCATTGCACTCCCGCCTGGGTAACAAGAGCGAAACTCCGTCTCAAAAAAAAAAAAAAAAAAATCAGAATGGCCAGGTGCAGTGCCTCACCTCTGCAATCCCAGTGATTTGGGAGTCTGTAGGTGGGAGAGTCACTTGAAGCCAGAAGTTTGAAACCAGCCTGGGCAATACAGGGAGACAGACCCCTGTCTCTACAAAAAAAAATTTTTTGAGAATCGTTTGATTCTCCCGCAGAACTGGGAGGTGGACCTCCCACCTCGGTGATCTGAGATCACACTATTGCACTCTAGCCTGAACAACAGACCAAGACCTTGTCTCAAAAAAAATCAGGCCAGGCGCAGTGGCCCACGCCTATAATCCCAGCACTTTGGGAGGCCGAGGGGGGTGGATCACAAGGTCAAGAGATCGAGAACATCCTGGTCAACAAGGTGAAACTCCGTCTGTACTACAAATACAAAAATTAGCTGGACATGGTGGTGCGCGCCTGTAGTCCCAGCTACTCAGGAGGCTGAGGCAGGAGAATTGCTTGAACCCAGGAGGCAGAGGTTGCGGTGAGCTGAGACCGTGCCATTACACTCCAGTCTGGGTAACAATAGTGAAACTCCATCTCAAAAAAAAAAAAAAATAAAAATCAGCTATGTGTGGTGGCACATGCCTATAGTCCCAGCTACTTGAGAGGCTGAGACAGAAAGATCTCTTGAGCCTAGGAAGTCGAGGCAGCAGTAAGCTATCTTTGCACCACTGTACTCCAACATGGGTGATAAAGTGAGACCCTGTCTCTTTAAAAAAAAAAATTGGGTTGTGTGCAGTGGCTCACGCCTGTAATCCCAGCACTTTGGGAGGCCAAGGTGGTTGGATCATGAGGTCAGGAAATCGAGACCATCCTGGCTTATACAGTGAAACCTTGTCTTTACTAAAAATACAAAAACTTAGCTGAGCGTGGTGACACGCACCTGTAGTCCCAGCTACTCAGGAGGCTGAGGCAGAAGACTTGCTTGAACTCAGGAGATGGAGGTTGTGGTGAGCTGAGATCATGCCACTGCAATCCAGCCTGGGTGACAGAGCGAGACTTCATCTAAAAAAAAAAAATTAAAAAGTATCCAATTATACACTTTAAATATATACATTTTATTGTGCATCCGTTATCCCTCAATAAAGCTGTTATATGTTGGTAGAATTAGTGACTCACAGACACTAGGAAATCGATAGATGCTCAGATATACATTTCAGAAACAACTAACAAGTAATATAAGAAGATCTATATACAGAACTGTTGTTCTATATTCTTTTTATGTTCATATTCGATTACTTTTTTTTGTTGTTTGAATACTTTTTTTTGTTGGTTTGTTTACTTTTTAAGCCTCATTTCTTAGAGGCAGAATTCATAGATTTCTTAGGGTATTTTTTTCCCTAAAAGCAGAGCCTGAGACAAAGACATGGTTGTGGTTATTTGGGAGATGACTCCAGGAAGCAGAAGTGAAGGGAATATGATTGAAATAAGAACGGGGAAAAAATCCAATAAACGGTGCTACTGAAGTGGTCACAATGCAAAGAACAACTGGGGCTTGATCTTATAGGGACTCTCTAAGGAACCATGTAGACAGTACTTTGGACTGTCCAACTGAAGGACAGGGAGGTTGGGGCATTTATCCACCAATTCTCACTGAGAATTCCCCTGGAACATTAATTCCCCCACACTTCCATGTTATCCCTCCAAATGGCAAGCAGTATCCCTGAAGCAGGAAAAGAGATACTCCCATAGCCCTTGTTTGATGTGGGATGATGGTAAGTACATGAGAATTTCCACACAGAAATAAAGCTGCACTCAGGTGAGCCTCTTAACTAAATGGAGCAAGACTGTAACAGTGACTAAAAGCAGAGGCTCTGGAGTCATTCAACACTGGTTCAAATCTCAGTTCCATCATTTTGTACTTTGAGCCTAAGCAATTTTTTTTTTTTGAGACGGAGTCTTGCTCTGTCGCCAGGTTGTAATGCAGTAGCGCAATCTCGGCTCACTGCAGCCTCCATCTCCTGGGTTCAAGTGATTCTTGTGCCTCAGTCTCCCAAGTAGCTAGGACTACAAGCACCCACCACCACACTGGCTAATTTTTGTATTAATTTTTGTAGAGATGGGGTTTCGCCATGTTGACCAGGCTGGTCTCGAACTCCTGACCTCAGGTGATCAACCTGCTTCAGCCTCCCAAAGTGCTGGGATTACAGGAATGAGCCACTGTGCCTGACCACAAAGATAAATTTAGATAATGCATATTAAGTGCTTAGCACAGTCTTTGTCACACAGTAGCAACTCAGTTATGTATTTTATTCATCAGAGAAGATTCCAGATAACTTTACCTGTTCTCAAAAGGCAAAGTCTGCTCATCGCTCACTGTTTCTTACAGAATTAATCATGGGCTTTGAAGGCAAAAGCAAATCAAAGGGTACAAAAATTTTACTGGTACAAAACAGAAAAAGGAACTGCCCAAAGTGGCTAGTCTGAGAGAAAAGTAAATGCCTGATTAAGGAAATCAAGCTAAGTACTTTTAAGACTAATCATAATTCTTAAATATGAATTTAAGCACATTGGCCAGGCGCAGTGGCTCATGCCTGTAATCCCAGCATTTTGGAAGACTAAGGTGGATGGATCACCTGAGGTCAGAAGTTCAAGACCAGCCTGGCCAACATGGCAAAACCCCATCTCTACTAAAAGATATAAAAATGGCCTAGGCATGGTGGCAGGTGACTGTAATCCCAGCTACTCGGGAGGCTGAGGCAGGGAGAATTGCTTGAACCCAGGAGGTGGAGGTTGCAGTGAGTTGAGATCGTATCACTGCACACCAGTCTGGGCTACAGAGCGAGACTTCCTCTCAAAAAAAAAAAAAAATGTAATATGTTTCCAGCATATTTAAGAACAAAGCCATATTATAATTTTCTTTAAAAAAAATGGGGGGGGGGGCCAAGCGCGGTGGCTCACACCTATAATCCCAGCACTTTGGGAGGCCGAGGCGGGTGGATCACGAGGTCAAGAGATAGAGACCATCCTGGTCAACAAGGTGAAACCTCATCTCTACTAAAAATACAAAAGTTAGCTGGGCATGGTGGTGCGCGCCTGTAGTCCCAACTACTCGGGAGGCTGAGGCAGGAGAATTGCTCGAACCCAGAAGCGGAGGTTGCGGTGAGCCGAGATCGTGCCATTGCACTCCAGTCTGGGTAACAACAGCGAAACTCCATCTCAAAAAAAAAAAAAAGAAAAAGAAAAAAAAATTAAAAAAATAGGGGGGAAATGACTTTTATATCTAGATGTTCTAAAATACTCCACATTTAATGCCAATATTAAGTATAAGAGACTTTATACAACCAAGCAAA